TAATTCCAGTTTGTAGATTCATCCAGTCCAGCATTTTGCATGATGTACTCTGCATATAAGTTAAATAAATAGGGTGACAATATACAGCCTTGTTGTACTCCTTTCCCAATTTTGATGCAGTCAGTTGTTACAGATAAGGTTCTAACTGTTATTTTTGGCCCACATACAGGTTTCTCAGGAGACAAGTTAAGATGGTCTGGTATTCCCACCTCTTTAAGAAATTTCCACCCTTTGCTGTATCCACAGTCAAAGGCTTTCATGTAGTCAATGAAACAGAAGTAGATGTTTTTGTGAAAGTCCCTTGCTTTCTCTATGATCCAACAAATGTTGGCAATTTGGTCTCTAGTTCCTCTGCCTTTTCTAACCTCAGCTTATACATCTGGAAGTTCTTGATTCATATACTGCTGAAGCTTAACTTGAAGGATTTTGAGCATAACCTTCTAGCATGGGAAGTTAGTGCAATTGTCCAGTGGTTTGAACATTCTTTAGCACTGCCCTTCTTTGGAATTGGGATGAAAACTGATCTTTTCCGGTCCTTTGGCCACTGCTGGTTTTTCCAAATTTGCTGACATCTTGAGTACAACACTTTAACATCATCTTTTAGGATCTGAAATAGCTCAGCTGGAATTCCATCCTCCACTAGCTTTGTTGGTAGTAATGCTTCCTAAGGCCCACTTGACTTCACACTCCAGGATGTCAGGCTCTAGGTGAGTGACCACACCATTGTGGTTATATGAGTCATTAAGACCTCTTTTGTACAGTTCTTCTGTGTATTCTTGCCACCTCTTCTTAATTTCTTCTGCCTCTGTTGTGTCCTTACTGTTTCTATCCTTTATCATGCTCATCCTTGCGTGATATGTGTCTTTGATATCTCCAATTTTCTTGAGGAGAGCCCTAGTCTTACCCATTCTATGGTTTTCCTCTATTTCTTTGCATTGTTTATTGAAGAAGGCCTTCTTATCTCTTCTTACTTTTCTCTGGAACTCTCCATTCACTTGGTTATATCTTCCCCTTCCTCCTTTGCCTTTTGCTTCTCTTCTTTCTCCAGCTATTTGTAAAGCCTCCTCAGACAACCATTTTGCTTTCTTGCATTTCTTTTTCTTGAGGATGGTTTTGGTCACCACCTCCTGTACAATGTTGTGAACCTCTTTCCATAGTTCTTCAGACACTTTGTCTCCCAGATCTAATCCCTTGAATCTTTTCATCACCTCCACTGTATAACCATAAGGGATTTGATTTAGGTCATACCTGAATGGCTTAGTGGTTTTTCCCACTTTCTTTAGTTTAAACCTGAATTTTTCTGTAAGGAGCTGATGATCTGAGCCACAGTCATCTCCAGGTCTTGTTTTTGCTGACTGTATAGAGCTTCTCCATCTTTGGCTGCAAAGAATGCAATGAATCTGATTTTGGTTAGGGCATAGGCTTGGATTACTGTGATGCTGAATGGTTTGCCTTGTAAATAAACTGAGATCATTCTGCTGTTTTTGAGATTGCACTTGTGTGTTACATTTCAGACTCTTTTGTTGGTTATGAGGGCTACTCCATTTCTTCTAAGGGATCCTTGTCCACAGTGAAAGAAAAGAAAGAAAAAGTGTTAGTCAGTCATGTCCAACTCTTTGTGACCCCATGGACTGTATAGCCTGCCAGGCTTCTCTGTCCATGGAATTCTCTAGGCAAGAATACTGGAGTGGGTTGCCATTTCCTTCTCCAGGGGATCTTCCTGACCCAGGGATCAAACCCAGGGTTATCTTTAGATAAGAAGGCCGACTGCACAATCACAATGACTGACTTGGACTTACTGGCTCTGATGACTGGTAAAATGAATCCTCAGATGGTAAATATGACGTTACTTATATCCTTGTATTAGGTGGATTTTAACCTGTTTCACTTCATCACCTATTTCAGCCTCATCCCATAAAGTGTAAAGTGGTCAAACCCACAAAATTCAGTGTTCCCCAAATATTCACTTAACGAATGACAAATAGTTGTGGAGCTAGCCATGTGTCAGTCACTGCCCTTTGTGCTGAAAATGTCCAGATGAATCAGAAATAGTTCACATGCTCAGGGCATCCACAGTTTGGTATGAGATAGGTCTGCAGAAGGATAAGTGCAACCAAATAGCTGTGGTGCCCTGTCCGGCTTGTGGTCGGAGAGAGTGGAAGAAAGAGATGCCATATGTTCCTGGGCTGTCAGTGAAGGCTTCACAGGGGAAATAATTCTTGGCTTTGTCCTGGGGGTGAGCAGGAGTCATCAGTGCACAGGTGGAGAGTAGGAGTCATCCAGATAGAAGAAAGGACTAGTGGTCACAGAGGCAAGACATTTTACCTTTCGTATCTTTGCCTGTGCTCCTTTTTTGTCTGAGCTGTGATTTCCTTGGCAAACTTCCTATCTTTTAAAATGATCTTAGGGACTTCCCTAGTGGTCCAGTGGCTAAGACTGTGCTTCCAATTAATGGGGCGTGTGTTTGATCCTTGGTCAGGGAACTAGATCTCACATGTTATAACTAAGAGTTTGCATTCTACAATTAAAGATCCCTTATGCTGCAGGTAAGACACAGCTCAGCCAAATAAAATAAATGAGTATTAATATAACAAAACAAAATGAACTTAGTTGTTATGTTTAAAGACCTCCTACCACACTGTTGGGGAGCTATAGTCAGTCCCTCTTTTGGGCCACTTGCTGGACCGCTAGCCTAGCACTGTCTCATTACACTAGTGGTGTGCCTGTCTCTTCTCCCAGGAGAGTGTGTGTGTCTCAAGGGAATAAATCACATCTTGTTCATCTTTGTGTCTCCAGAACTTAGCATGATGCCTGGCATTTTTAAATTTTCACAATCACTGGCTTAACTTGTATTTCTCTAAAATGTATTTGTGGCTTGTATAGATTTTTCAGGCCCCCAGATTGTCAAGGGTCTTCTTAAATTCTTTATGGGCACAATGTTGAGCAGACTTGATATATGTTATCCATAGGTAACACAAAGGAAGCTAAGATGCTGCTTTCCATTGTAACCTGATTTTTTTTTGTTGTTGCCTCCACCTAATTTGGGCTTCCCTGGAGGCTCAGACGGTAAAGAATCTGCCTATAATTTGGGAGACCCGGATTCAATCTCTGGGTCAGAAAGATCCCCGGAGAAGGGAACAGCTATCCACTCCAGTATTCTTTCCTGGAGAATCCCATGGACAGAGGAGCCTGGAAGGCTACAGTCCATGAGATCGCAAAGAGTCAGCCAGGACTGAAGCAACTAACACTTTCAGCCTTATTTGTTTTAGGTCTTGTTCCTGTGGTACTCTCATAATTTGAAAGATTGGATAAACGACTAAATCTGACTCTTACTTGTATTCCTTTTAAAAATGCTTATTCTAAGCAACTAAGCACATTTCAACTGGTACATTGACAAGTAAGAGACTTGCATCTATGATGTTTCAGTTGAATACACACCATTGACACTGACATTTGCACCCCCTGAGCCTTCTTCAAAATCTGGGTAGAACAGAGGCCATCAGTCTCGGAGCTGGCATGTCCCCCTTCCCACCTACCACTGCTCATGCCACTGTGCACTCCATGCATTTCCTTGGCAGCGTGGTCAAGCTTCACCCTCAGCTACCCTCGTTCTCTCAGTTATCTGTTTTCCACCCATTTGGAGAGTGAAGTGTCAGCTTACTTTTCCTGAACACCTGTTAGCACCCAGAGGAATTAAAGATAAAAATGGGAGACCTTTGTGTTAATGTGCTAATGGTCTTCCCTATGCTCAGAAGAGGATTTGACTGGAAACCATTAAACACAGTGGAAATTATAATTTATATGTTTGGCTACAGTTGAAGCACAGCAATATGCTCTCTAGGAGAAAGCACACATGAAAAGCACCTTAGGGCCCAGATTTAAATGATTCTTTTGTGTGGAGTCTCTAAAAGGTGAAGACTCATTTTTTCTCTGTAATCGTTATTAAATAAAATGTAATTTCTTCTTTTAATTAAGAAAAGGGAAACGTGGTGAGTTTCTCTGGTAGGAACTACTGGTCCATATTTTTAAAAGACATATGTTAAATATATTGTGTTCTGAGACACTTGACCTTTAAGTCATCAGACAGAAGGCTGTGTGCCATATAGAAAGGAAATATTTCGTTTGTCCAGACAGAGGAGGGGGGGAAAGAAAGGAATTAGTCACCATCACCAGAAGGTGTAGAGAAAGCAGAGCTCAGTGCTTTCCTACTAGTGAGGCAGAAGAGCTCCTCACTCCTTGATATACTTGTTAGGAAATGAAGACTACCAGCAACTTTTCCTCTATTTTAAGAATTGAGTAAGAAGACTGAGATCATAGCAGAGAAATCATGCTATGTTCCCAATTTTTCTATTTCTTTAAAGTTTTCCTGGGATTTTGTTACATGATAAATTTAGCAAACATCATGTGATCTAATCCCAGGCAGTTGTTAAGTGGAACAAATTGTGGCTCTGCACTTGGGACTGGTTTGAGTCTCCTTATTGAGCCAAAGATTCACTCAGGCACCTCAGTCTCAGCAGGCTGCCTGGCCTCCCCCTGTAGGGAATACATCTTTATCATGTAGACCAAAAAAGGGAGAAAAATGGTGACATTTCATTGCCTAGATGGATCTGTAATTGAATCCCAAGTTTCTAAGTGTGTTACACATGTGCTTTTCCTCCCTGCTGGCAGACCCACTGAATGCATAATGTTTTTAAACAAAATCAGTCTAGTATGAACCCACTCTGCCTAATATTTGAGGAAGAAAGGTAATGGCAGACTCAATTTCTAAGAGAACAGATTTGGGAAAGCTGTGTCTTTTGACTGCTCTGTGTAAAGTGTGACTTTTACAAATTTACCCTTGTGAGGAATCTGGTGCTAAATCTATTCCCGAAAGCCAAGTTTCATATTTTGAAGAAAGTTTAAGAGACTTGGATAAATAAATCATCTTGGGGCTGGACAGTCTAGAAATATTAGCAATCTCAAAACAACAAATAATAAATTTTCTTTCTTCTTCCTCACAGGCCTTCTTTCAAGGCAAATTGAAAATCACTGGCAGTGTGAGTCTGGCTATGAAATGACAAAATCTCCAGCTTCAGCCACAGACAAAGCTAAGCTGAAAAGAACTCCCTTTGCCTACTTTTGAAAATCAAGTTGAGATATATAGATATACATATAATTCATTGTCACAACTTAGATTGAAACCACATATTTGGAAATAGCATGAAATTTGTTTTTAAATGGGTGTGACCAATCTTGTTTTTCCTAAGCCCTGGGTGAATAGAACCTGATGGTTTACTACTGCTTTGCTGAATTGCATACAACTGTGCACTGCAAAGTTAATATGGTAATTATGGTTTGAGGTAAAATTGAATTTTAGAATAAAATTAGGAATAGCAAAATCCAAAAACTATGTAAACAAAAGCTCTCATTTTGGTTATAAAGTACATTTAAGGATTATTCTGCTGAAGATTCGATTTAAGTTTTCTCTGGGAGAACTCGGGAAGAAACAGAACACCAGTAGCTGGCCAGTATTTAGTGTCATGCACTTAATGACCTCAACCTATTTCCCTGTGACAATTTTTTAAATTCTGTATTGGGAGTTAAAAACAAAATAAAACAAAACTTTAAAATTTTGCATTTCATGCAATCAAGGCAGTATTTTCTTCCCACATTAAAGAAATATGATCAAAGTTTGGGAGTAAATATCTACTTTTAAATGAGTTTCTTTCTTGAAAAAATTCAGTGTATTAGAATCATAAAATGCTGTTGCGAAAAATAATTGAACAAATAAAGTTTGCTTTGAGATGCACAATTTTCAAATTATGCTCTTGTATCACTTTAATTAAATTTGTAAAACTCTCTTTTCTTTGTTATAATTTTCCTTTTACATATGTTTAGTTTACTAGCCACATTTATCTTCCTAGATTTTCCAATGCTAATGCTATTTCTAATAATTCATTAAGATATGGGGTAAAATAAGGCTTTCAGAAGAATGTTTAATAGAAAATTGCTCTTCCTCATCTCCTTTTTTCAAAAAAAATTGTGTAAGTTCTTTTTGTTCAGAGTTCTCTAAATGATAGAGAGTAAGAGAAACATTGGAGATTTACAGTCTATATTATTTAGACTACTATTTACTGCTACTTTCCCATAATCAGTCACTACTAGTTCTTGGTTAGGGACGTGCTATGTTGTGGTGGAAAGGGCACTTGACTAGGAGTTAGGAGTCTTGTTTCTCTTAGGCATATAAGTAATGTCTGGCAGTTTCTAACCTGTTAAAATAGGGCATTTAAGATGGTCCCTAAGGCTCCTTCTGCTCTGATAATCCTGTGAGTCTACTCAGAGTCCAGCCGAACTGTTTGGGAGTTATTCAGGTCACACTTTTCTGCTGTTAACACAATTACTTTACCCAAAGATGGGTCAGAGGCAAAAAGCTGGGTGGTTTCAGTTATTTGTTTAGATGTTTGGCACCTCTACTAATCAAATCAGGACTGTGGATCCCAGGACTTGGCCATTTAACTTTGCATGTTCTGCAACAAACAGAACAGTGTCTGGGAATGGGGCAATGTGGTAAATTAAGCCAGTATAAAGTTGATTTCATGTTTCCCAGGTGGCTCATCAGTAAAGAATTCATCAGCCAATGCCAGAGCTGCAGGAGATGCGGGTCCGATCCCTGGGCCAGGAAGATCCACTGGAAGAGGAAATGGCAACCCACTCCAGTATTCTTGCCTGAAGAATCCCATAGACAGAGGAGCCTGGTGGGCTACAGTCCATGGGGTCTCAAAGACTCATACATGACTGAACAATTGAACAGGAGCACAAGTTGATCTCAAGTCCCAAAAATGAATTCAGAACACAGACTTACTTCCTAATCATGTTGGCTTTTTATTCTGTGAAGAAAAAAATACTTCAAGAAAAAAGTTCCAATAAAATGTATGATTTACTTGTAGTTTGGATTTGCTGCATTATTCTGCCTCCTGTTGTTCCAGATAACAGGAGATATTTGTTATAGGCTTTAGGATGAACCTGAAAAAAAAGAAAAGAAAAGAAAGCCAAAAACTGGTTCTTGGAGTAGAGATGTACCCACATATAAGTGCAATTTATATTATTCAAAAAACTAAGATCATGGCATCCAGTCCCATCATTTCACGGTAAATAGATGGGGAAACAATAGAAACAGTGACAGACTTTATTTTCTTGGGCTCCAAAATCACTGCAGATGGTGACTGCAGCCATGAAATTAAAAGATGCTTGCTCCTTGGAAGAAAAGCTATGACAAACCTAGACAGCATATTAAAAAGCAAAGACATTACTTTGCCGACAAAGGTCTGTCTAGTCAAAGCTATGGTTTTTCCAGTAGTCATGTATAGATGTGAGAATTGGACCATAAAAAAAGCTGAGTGCCAAAGAATTGATGTTTTTTAATTGTGGTGTTGGAGAAGACTCTAAAGAGTCCTTTGGAATGTAAGGAGATCCAACCAGTCCATCCTAAAGAAAATCAGTCCTGAATATTCATTGGAAGGACTGATGCTGAAGCTGAAACTCCAAAAATTTGCCCACCTGGTGCAAAGAACTCATTGGAAAAGATCCTGATGCTGGGAAAGATAGAAGAGGAGAAGGGGAGGACAGAGGATGAGATGGTTGGATGGCATCACCAACTTGATGGACATGAGTTTGAACAAGCTCTGGGAGTTGGTGATGAACAGGGAAGCCTGGCGTGCTGCAGTCCATGGGATTGCAAATAGTCGGACACGACTGAGCGACTGAAAGCCTGAATGCCCTAGAGTCCATGCTCTGCAACAAGAGAAGTCACAGCAATGAGAAGCCCGTGTACTGCAACTAGAAAGTAGCCCTAGCTGGCCACCACTAGAGAAAAAGCCCAGGCAGCAGCAAAGACCCAGCACAGCCAAAAACTGAACTGAACTGAACTGATATTATAATAGAGAAGTGCTTGATAAAAATGTAATAATAGTTTAATTTCTAGAGAAGCATCATTGCTTGGGGGAAAGAGGTTAACTGGCCTGAGTTAAAACTAATGCCATTATTGGTTTCGTTACTTGAGCAAGTTGAGCTTCAGCTGTCTGACTTAGAAAGTGGAGATACTAATATTGACCTCCTAGGATTATTGAGAAGGCAATGGCACCCCACTCCAGTGCTCTTGCCTGGAAAGTCCCATGGACAGAGGAGCCTGGTAGGCTGCACTCCATGAGGTTGCTAAGAGTTGGACACAACTGAACGACTTCACTTTCACTTTTCACTCTCATGCATTGGAGAAGGAAATGGCAACCCACTCCAGTGTTCTTGACTGGAGAATCCCAGGGACGGGGGATCCTGGTGGGCTGCCGTCTATGGGGTCGCACAGAGTCGGACACGACTGAAGTGACGCAGCAGCAGCAGCAGCAGCAGCAGCAGAGAGATAACATGTGAAGTACCTAAATGAATGTTAGGTATACATCCTAGCCATTCTTAATTCCCTTACTGTAAGTGCAAGCTCCCTTTTTCTCACCACCTTTTGCATCTGTGATGTGCAATATGATGTCTATAGTTTTGAAAAAAAAAAATTTATTTATTTATTTTTGGCTGTGCTGGGTCTTTGCTGCTGCCTGGGCTTTTTCTCTAATAGTGATGAGTAGGGGCTACTTTCTAGCTGCAGTACATGGCTTTCTCATTGCCAAGGCTTCCCTTATTGCAGAGCATGGGCTCTAGGGCACGCAGGCTTCAGTAGTTGCAGTGTGTGGGCTCAGTAGTCATGGTTCACAAGCTCTAAGGCACAGACTCAGTAGTTGAGGCGCATGGGCTTAGTGGCTCTGAGGCATGTGGGATCTTCCTGAACCAGGGGTCCAACCATGTCTCCTGCATAGGCAGGCGGATTCTTTAGCACTGAGCCACCAGGGATATGGCTGTAGTTTTTTAAAAATCTTTTCTCATTCGTTCATTCACTGAACAAATATATCTTGAGTGCCTACTGTCTATAGGGTACCACATTAATGGTAATGCTAGTCACTGGAGACAGCAGTGAGCTCCTCCCCTAACAGTGCTTAGAGCCTGGTGGGAGAGATGTCAGTCAAAGAATCATTATTACAGACTGATGTATTTTGCAGGAGATGATCAGGGTGCTGTGATGGAGAGTCACAGTGAGGGGCCCCCTTTGAGACAGTGGTTGAGGGAGACATCTCTGAAGATGTAATATTTAAGCTGAGCTCTATAGGTTGAGGAATGAACCATGAAAAGAACCATTCAGGAAAGGATGAAAGATGCTTGGCTTGTTCTAGACATTGCAAGAGGGCCAATGTGAGTGGAATATAGTGACCTGGAAGGACAGCCCCAAGATAATGTTAGATAGACACACAGGAGCCAGCTATATTGGCATTTGTTCATTAAGGTAAGCCATTTGTGTTTCATTCTTTGTGCAGTTGGAAGCTTTTGAAGGTATAGCGTTACATATATTTATTTCTCACTCATGCTATATATCTGTTTTGCCATTATATCCTGTCTAGAACCTAGTCCAATGGATCAGCAGCTTCTGTCTGGAGCACAGGGATTGTCAGGACCAAGGAAGTAAAACAGCTGAAGTGCGTGTTGACTCTTAAAAGTACCTTTAAGTGATGCTCACCACTTTTGCTCCAATTTCATTGTCCAAATAATGTTACATGCTCCTAACTTCACAATCTTACCATGTACCAGAAGAAGGGAATGGAGTTGCACTATTTCTGAAGGAAATGATGACCATCACCCAAGGACTCTCAGCAAGGGAATGAAATGATTTAAACTTTCACTGTACTTGCTGTGAGGAGAATGTACTGGGCTACAGGGTTGGAGAATGGAAGGTGGAAGAAGATAGTGTCCTAGACTGGGGTGTCAGTAGTGGAGGTGTTGGTAGATGTGCAAAAGTAGGCAGAGGTAGAGCTGACGGAACTTGGTGACCAGATGCAGGGGGAAGAATGAATTCCAGTGACTGGCCAGGTGAATGGTGGGCCATGACTGGAATGACAAAGGGCCAGCAGATTTTAGGGACAGTGGTCAAAATAATAAGCTCCAGTTTTGAACTTGTTGTTAACTTTGAGGTGCCTGAAAATATTTCTTGGTAGAGACACCAAGGAGGCAGCTGGATTTATGAGACTGGAGCTCAGAGGCGAGGTCAGCTTATAGATGCACATTTGGAGGTCTTGAACACTGTGTGGTGTGTAAAGCCACAGGAATGGATGGTGTTGCCTGGGAAGGGGAGAAGTAGGGTTAGATGAAGCCTCGAGGAACTTCAGCTTTTGGAGATCAGGTCAAGGAGGAGGATCTGTCAAGGGGGATGAGAATGAGGGACTAAAGAAGTGGAGGAAAATTTTGTAGGAAGAGAGTATAGCCTAAAAGTGGCAATTGTCAACTGTGTCCTATGCAGGTCGATCAGGATGCTATCTAAAAAGTGTCTACTGGATTAAACTTGGCAACATGGAAGTCACTGGTGATTACTGCAAAATCGGTTTCAGTGCTAGATTAGAACTGGTTTCATAAAGAGCTATGAATAATAAGAACAAAAAAGTTCCATTGGGTAGTGATTTGTTCAGTTTCCAAGTGATTAATAAAGAGCAAGCACATTAGCTAATACTCTTAGTTCTAGATTAGGTCATCTTGCACATGCTGCTTTCTGTGCCCACCCTCATCATCCTCTCCCTCTTGTCCCCCACCTTATCCACTTGGCAAATTCCTTTTCATTCTTTTCGTGTCTTAGCTTTCATGAAGTTGTCCCTCTTTGCCACACACACACAAACCCACAAAACAAGCAAGCAAACAGAAAAACCCCCAGAGCTGTAACCATTCCTTCGTAGTAATTTGTTTCCCACCGAACAGAGAGTTCCTTAAGGGCAGAGACTGCATTTCATACCTCCATTTGACACTCCCGGCACAAAGTCTTGGCTTACTGTCATAAAGCAAATGAATGAGATAAGCTGAATAACAATTTTATATTCACAGGGGGCATTTTTGAAGATAGGAACCTCATCATAGAAGTGTATTCTCTATGACAATGACCTTCTGCTGCCCCGATGATGACAGAGAACATTAAAAATTCTTCAGCTGGACTTATCTGGCTCTTTCTTTGAAAATACTTGTAGCTTCTCAGGATAGCCTTTCAATTTAAGATTGAAGCAGCCTGAAGTAATCAGAAGTCAGTTTATTTGTAGTTTTAGTACATGTTTGTAAAACAAAGTGGCTCAGTGGGTTCTGTGTACATTAAAATCTTTAGTCTTGTTGCCGTATCTGTTAAGATCTCAAGACCTGTTCAGAATTCAAGATCTCAGATTTCTGTAATCCTTGCTGCTTATGTAGAAGAACAATAATGGAGAGCATGATTAGGAAGTTGAGTGTGGAGGTGAGGGTGGAGGAGTCACAGAGGTGTGATCAGAAGAATCTCAGATCAGATTCTGTCTGCCTCCTGGAAGCTAAGTTGGTGGTGGTAGTGGTTTAGTTGCTAAATCATGTCTGACTCTTGCGACCCCATGGACTGTAGCCCACCAGGCTCCTCTGTCCATGGGATTTTCCAAGCAAGAATACTGGAGTGGGTTGCCATTTCCTTCTCCAGGAAGCTAAGTTAGGACAAGGCTTTAAGCCTTGCCAAACTCAAGTTTTCTCTTCTGCACAAGGTGGGCAATGTTCATATTTTTTAAAGTAGTCTCATTAGACTGTGAATACCTTGAAGGGAGAAACTCTGTTATTCATCTCTGTCTCTAGTATTAACACTATGTCTACCAGAGTAAGCATCAGTAAATATTTCTCAAACAAATGAAGAGCAGACAACAATCCATTGAAGT